ATCGTTGGGTCATCAGTTCCATTCACTTGATACTGACTATTCCCACACAGTCTTTTAATCGCATAATTGTCTGTCCCATTATGAATGCATATTCTTACTTACCAAAAGGAAGTTAGGACGTTACTACTTCCTTTTCAACACTTCATTTTTTCAGTTTATGTACTTTAATGTGTAATCTATATTATTTTAATTAAATTTATTTCTTCAAACATTTCCTTCCTTACAATATCCAGTAGTCAAATTTTGTTTTCATCGTTTCACCGTTGTCATGGATTTTTATGCTGATATTAAACATCCTTATTTCAGCACTAAACACACATGGCCAATTTCAATCTCTTGTTTCGCCTTCTTGGAAACTGCTCTAGCTACTCAGTATAGTACACTCGACGGTCGATGGGTATCAGAACATTTCTGAACTTGACAGTAAAGATGAGACTCAGCATCAGTACCAGAGGTTTAAATAACCGAAAATATTGTTGATGACGATAACAGGTCATGGGGCGAGTTATTCTTGAAACACTGGCAGTCTTTCAGCCGGTCAAGAAATTCCCCGCCATTTATGAAACCCGAAAGTTTAATTCCGTATTTACAAGTTTAACGGACTGTATCCTCCGTCAGTTGAATCCAAGCCACTCTCCATACCTTGTTTCTTCAAGATCCATTATATTATCTTCCCACCAGCGTATAGGTTTCACAACGACAACAGTAATTCAATCATCGTTAAGTTTATTCGAATGCGTAGTTACAATTATAGCCAAAACAGTAGAACCAACAGGCCATGAAAGAATAATGTAATATGCAAATGGCATAATGAATTAAGATATAATATTAAAAAGTAATAATGAAATGCAGTGACTTGTGCAATGTAATTATCGTTTAAGTTTTGCACAATATGTAATCTTCTCCAGATTATTGTTCGGGTTAAGAAATCAAGAAGGAGAGTTGGAAGGAGCAGATAATAGGGTTTACATAGGGCCACAGAACTTTAATAGTGGAACCTGGCCTGATGAAATCACTTGGGAGAACGAGGCTTAGATGGACAATTAACATGAAGATGTATCTTCAAAACGAGAGTGTGTTCTGGTTTCATCTGGCTTAGGATAAGATGAATGGTGAGTTTCTTGAGCAAAATAAAATCAGTTGCATTGAAGACCAAAAATTTTAGTGAACCTTTTAATTCCATAAAAGACAGATAATTTCTTCAGGAGCTGGACGACTATTAGCTTCTCAAGAAGTACTCTACTGCCTTTTACGTCCCCGACACGTTCGTACCATGCCAACCGTGGCGTTGTTCCGCCACACACCTAGGTCTGCATGGTAATGCAACTTATACCTTACAAGCACACAGATCTCATGCTACATATGTCCTTGGTCAATGGCTAGGTTAGTGTCGCAACTCAGATTAAAGAAATACATCGCTCAGTCTGTGAATTCATTTTCTTCAGTTAATCTTTACAATTGTCTATTTACGCTGCCTTTAGTAAAGTTTCCTTGGTTGTTACTGTGTAATGATGAATTATATCCTAATTTTCCAAACGTAATCTTTGTTACAATTCATGCGTGAAGAATAAGAGAAACACGTACGTAACGCAAAACACCAAGATAAGACGGGAGGATAATATTAAAATGGACCTTCAGATAAATATGATATTAATGTGTGGGCTGGGTTCACCTGGATCAGACGTAGGATCGGCAAAAGATACTGGACCTGTGGATTCCACACAAGTCGGGGAATTGCTTGACCACGAGCGACAATCAGTTCTTCCCAGTACACTGTTGCATAATGGCTCTTTCTTCTCGTTTGCACGTGCAGTTCGTGTGTGGCTTCGTGCTGCTGTGGACGCTCACTCTGATCAGTATGGACCGCCACCGGTGCATCGTGGTGCCGCCGTACCGCTCCAGGCTCACCCCACAGCTCGCCACTCTTCTCACCGCTGTCACGTGGCTCATCGCAGCAATTCTCTTCCTCCCTGTCGCTTTCTGGTTCCACGAGCAGCCCACCAACGCAGGCACCATCTGCACCCTCGTGTTCCCAATGTCACACACTGTGAACTTTTCCATCTGCTTCACTGTGCCCGTCATTCTCCTTGCCTGCCTGCTTCCCATGGCCCTCCTCGTCTATCACTACCAAAGAATTTTCCAGAAACTCTTGTCGACGAGGAGCCGCTGGGCTGTACCTTGCGTTGTCATCAACCCGGTGAGCACTGATTGTTCGGGTGCAGACACGCCGACTGTGAGACGTGACAGTGAACTAAGTTTTGTTGGCAGCCTGGTGATGCCATGGACCAGGAAGATCTCGACGACAAGCCAGCAATTCATGTCGCCGGGCCGGAATGGCTCGATGTCACAACACGAGGAGCTCCGTCTCAATAAGCACCTCAGGGTAGTCAGGGTGCTGCTACTTAACGTAATCGTCGTCCTCCTCATGTGGCTCCCCATCACCGTCGTCATGTTCCTCATCTATGTCGATGGTCGCCGGCCATACGAGGACACCAACTTTTTCCTCAGGTCACACCACTTCATTTGGTCCCTAGTCGTTGCATTGTTAAACACTGTTGTGAACCCACTTCTTTATGGGGTTCTGTCGGAAAATTTCCGCAAGTGTTTCACTCGCCTTTGGTTCGGTGGACGAGGTAGTTCCGACAACAACGGCTGCAGAAGAAACGATCTCAGTAAGTCTAACCAGGACGCTTTGAATGAATATGGTGTTAACGGTACGTCCAGGACCCCAAGCAGCGGGCGAGTCAACGGGTACCCTCAAGGGATACCCCCGAAACCCCAAAAGAAAATTAGTATGTGTAGCATTGGCTCTGTACTGGAAACGCCCAGTGGTGTTCAGGAAGTCTGATACTACAGACCTAAACGTAAAGACAATTCTCGCACACAAAATACGGACACCGAAACTAATGCCAAATTTTCCAGTATTTCCAAAACGTAAATTTGGATTGTGGAATGTTGGTTTACATGGTGATCAACACGGAAATTATAATTGGTTTATAAATACCAAACGAAACAAGGGTATCACGGACTGATAATCCGAACGGTGTTTACTATCACCACCATTCTCATCCTTAGCCACTCAACCTATATCTGTTTATAATAGTCATAAATAATTTTCCATTTATTGTCATAAGTGTACGCCACATCGCTCAGGGGTTTTCTTGTCTGCTGCTGAATGCTCCCCTTCGACTACCGTGCAGCCGAAGTAAAATGAATCACCAAGATCGTGAGGATTCACTCTAGTTCACTGGCACACCAAGTGCTTACATTTGATTGAGTGCCATAACTTACTTTTCTATTACTGGCTGGATTCATCTGGCTCAGGATATGATTTACTGGCGGACTCTTCTGAACGTGACAGTCGATCTTCGAGTTCCACAAAAGACGGATAATATCTTGACTAATTGAGCGACTGCTAGCTTCTCAAGAAGGACTCTGTTCAGTGTAGTTGTAGAGTTGAAAAAATCCCTTAAACCAAATTTAATACAAATCTATGTGTTCTATGGTTTCCAACATGAAAATCCAAAACGACGTGGTCTCCTTCCAGCCTCTTAGCATACAACTTTATCTTATCTACTAAAATACGAATATAAATTTTGATCTAAAATAATTCAAAATTTGTCTCGAATCTACCACAACTGCATATATTGTCCAATAACTAAATTATTTAGCCTTTCGTCCGGTAACTTTTTAAATAAGTACAAGTAGCTAATGCTGCAAGAGTGAGCTAATGGGCGTCCGAAAACCAGTAATGTATGCTAATGGGTCGAATTATGTGTATTTGTAGGTCAAAGTGAAACATGTAAGTCTATGTACCTCTTCAGACTCTGTATAACGTACGCAAGACTCTTTGCACCTACATTATCATTGTTTAAAAGAAAATTTATCTTTATTCGTATGTTACTCAGAGTATGAAATATCTCGTTATCTGCACATGTGTGTATATGTAGATGTTTAAGTAAATTGGTATTGTTAAACATTGATATAAAATTAATCCATTGTTTCTGCCCCTCGTAACACCCAACTTGTAGTCTTTTTTTAGTCTCTTAAATTTTCTTATTCCCATTAGCCATACTGAATATGACCCAAGGCCCGTTACACTGACAATCTTCTGGTGTAAATTGTACCCTAGGACAAAGAATAATGTCTACATTATACGTGACTCACTTTTCTGAACGTGACATAATCCTCAAAACTTTCGCAACGTCGCCATATCTTTGCCTCACTAGCGTCAACGTCAGCGTATATCGGTGTCACTTCTCACACCTACCTCAGAGTTCTTGTTATCAAAATGTACAGAAGTGTTAGTAATTTGCGTTCATTTTTAATATCACTAGGATAATGTTCGAAACTGATTAATTAAGTTTAATTGTAGTTTGTAGCCCCATAAATAATCATCAAACAGACTATTACATATCAATATTCATTTAATGCATTCTATTGTGATTGTTAGCAGGTTATACAGAAGAAAGAAGTTCAGTCTAACACAATATATTTTATTTGCAATCAATTATTTTACTAGGACGACATATTTCGACTCCACAGGGTCATCCTAAGGCCCTTAAGAGAAATATGTAGCCGTAATAATATTTTGGTTTTGAATTAAATATACTATGTAAGACGGAACCTTAACTTTCTTCATATGTAACTTTCATTACAGTCTATGGATGTTTTCAAATCTAAGTTTAAATTTACGTGCATCAATGTGCATGCAAATAAAAGGTGCATTTATTTTGCAAACACAGATATCCCCACTAAGAATATGTAACAGGTATATCAACCAAACGTTTGTATTTCTCAAAATATTCCAGCCATAACTTCGTCATACGGTCGATAATTCTGATATGGGGGTACGTTCTGTCTGTAGGGGTTTCTGGTTGTCTGCGTAAAACTCTAAACCAACAAAACCCACTTGTAACGAATTATGAGCGGAGCCAGACATTTAAAACAAAAAATGTGTACAAAATAATATGCAGATCACAAGGAAATTTGTATGCACTATTTAGATGTGGCAATTCATTTGGACTGGCGCATTTGCACACAATACATTCGATATGAGATCGGTTACGAGGTTGCAGGGAACACGAAGTGCTTTTAGTAACACGGTTAAAATGAAGATAGAATAATGGGTTTGTATTTAAACATAGATTTGGAAGATTTTCTCTGGTTTGAATATTTCGGTCATTCCAGTATTTGATAAATATGTAGAATGGAGGAAATACCAAAGAATGCTATTAAAGAGGCAATGAAAATTCTGTTTTCTATGTAAATTATTATCTTATAGTTCCAAACATGTAAATTGCGATAATAAAATATATTTATAATGAAATTTCAAATCTGCAGCCTTATTTATATGTTCAAAAGGCTAACTTTTTATCAGTCCATAAGAGAATACCATAAAATAAAGATTTTTGAGAAAAGGATGCTGAGAAGAATATTTGGACCTAAGAGGGAGGAAGTCACAAGAGGTTGGAGAAAACTGTATCATGGAGATCTCCATAATTTACACTTTTCACCGTATTTTATCACAGATCAAGGATGGCTAGATGAACCAGACATGTAGGAAGCACAAGACAGGAAATGTATTATTTATATATATTATTATTATTTAGTGTTCTGTCTGACGCCATGTCCATATGAACAGGATCCTTCCATCCTTTTCTCGGACTGAGACCTGTTCATATACGTTCTTGGCAGATGATCCAGAAGTGGTTTGCCATTGCCTTCTTCTGTGTGTGTTGGGATGCCACGGAGAAACCGGGGAAGCCCCCGGAGGAAAACTCCGTGTTGCCTAGACCACGGCCTTGCCCAACACAAGTTATAAATTCGGGCTCCGCCGGGAATCGAACCCGAGACCCCAGGATTACAAGGCCAGCGTTCTAACCGCTGTGTCCACTGAAGGAAAGAGGTTACTTGGAAGGTCTAGACGTTGATGGGAGAACAATATTAAATAATATTATTTACTTCAGACAAAGGTAGGACCTCCACATACACTGGTTGTGTGAGAAAGAACTGGATTCCCACTGCTGCACAACAACATTGTGACCAATACAAATAAATAGAGCCATACGGAGATTTTAAAGCCTGAGACGAATTTGGAACCATGTTCGTGAAACTGACGACTTGAAAGTTACTTTCAAAGTGAATAACTAAAAGTGAAAGGGTCAAATAAAAACATTCTGCGTGCTACAAGGGACCTGATAAATATAATGGTGATGACACAAGGCGGGAAATTTGTTTACCACTGAAGCCACAGGTAGCGAAATGTTGAGTCCTTGACCGTCAAAGAAATGGCATCCTGATCGTCCAGTCCGCATCCTGACTCTACTAACTGAAATATCCTGACTCCAGTTTGGCGTTCTGGTTACTCAAAGGCTCCAGCAGCGTTGCTGGAACGATCCTGGGTCAACACTGAAATATGCTTTCTGGCACGCACAGAAACAAATCTCGCATCAATACCTCAATAAAAATTCCGTAGTAAGCAAACAGATGTCCAGTCTGTTTGGCTTTTTATCTAAATAAGCAAAGTATTTTAGAATAAGGCGGCTAAGAACACTGCTAATTCCATGTCATGAACGTTGTACAAAATTCAAACTACTGTTTATTTTTGCTGTGCCAAATGTTATTGAACACACTTCAAACACACAAATACGAACCTTGGCTGTGGGATTCTTTTGTTACTTCAGTCGTAAATACGGTTTAATGATGCAGCACTAAACGCTTATTTCTTCTTATCCGTAAGTCAAGGTTCTGACATTCTTTTTCAAGCGTGGCGGGCTGTGACAGGCTACTCTGATCCGATCTAGTGGCTAACAGGTGCTGAATTTATCGTAATTCACATAAATGCCAGAGTGCGAAGAACGACACTCAGTCCTCTGCACTGGATCCACAGATATCAATTCAGGAACACTCTCTAACCACGACAAACTCATGCTCTGCCGAAACATTTGACATTCAAGCGACAAGAAAACCAGTAGACATTCAAATGACAACGCAATGCTTTAATGTCGTATTTGTTCCCGTCAGTAAACATTCAGAATACGCTGGTGATTTTTCCATTCGTTGTTGGATGTCTTAAGAACTGGGAGTGTGGTATTAAGATTATCACGCCTACTACCAAATAGACTGTTTTTGACTATTCAAAGTTTTTGCAATTACTTAAATCTTGAGTTGTACTGGTGACATTAATTTTATGATCCATCTGTATTTCGTGTTGGTTGCAATGCTGTCTTCAAGAAAACTGCGTGAGAGTATGAAGAACGGACTACAGGAACCTGTCTATGTAATCATTGCAAGGCGGCTGAACGGAAATTTCCATTGCAGTGTAGATCAAAACCGACAGCTGCTTCCGAAAGAAATTAAATTAACAACACGCATAATGGCTGCCATAATTATGCATATACTTCCAGAAAACTTTAAAATAAACATACAATAAATCTCAAAGAAAATATCAGGACTTCCGAAAGTTTAGCGAAACATTTTGCCTTAGCGGAAATTAATGCAGTTAGTATTAAGGTTTAAGCTTTGTCGAGTAAACTCCTTTGGTCTGAATCGTACGGAGAAGTTTAATAATTATATGATCTGTGGAGAGATTAGAATGTCTGAGACAAAGCGTCATTTCTATAAAATTACGAGATATTATCATGAAGTGGATATAATTGACACGTAATTAAAATGTCGTTTCTGATTGCGTATCTGTGTGTTCGTATGTTCCTTGTAAGAAACTAATGAACACTTTACATTACTTACTGCATACAGATTAGTTATAATATAATTCTGTTGGTGATTTTAGTGTCGATTTATGTTTATATATTTAGTTTTATGTATGTTTATTTACAGACCAATCGAATCTTGGCATGAACGTTTCTTGAATCCATTTTAAAAGAGCCAGATGTTTATTCTTCTGCCGGAAGGACGGCTGCAGTATCGAAGTTGCCATCAATAATTTCCGTCCTCTTGTTTTTATGTTCGCTGATGAAAGACGTCATTTAATTGTCTATAGGGAATTTCTGAACCAGTCGGCTCTGGTATATATATATAGAGTGTTTCTAACGTAAACCTTTCTTTTCTTGCCAATTGTATTACATAGACCGAGTGCAGATGGATGTGACAGCTGTTCCTATGCTATCTGCTTCACTTACACGTCACACACCAGGGTTTTACTCCCACTACGTCAATTTCATCCTTCTTATTTTGTTGGAACTATGTCGTTGTCTTCATTAGAAATTTGTTAACATTTATTTCAGGAGCATGTCGCCCTTTTATTCCGGAACACCAGGGGCCATGTCAGCCATAATAAGCAGGCTAACAATTCAAGCACATAAAATGTATTCTGTCTTACTTTCGTGGATAAGTGATGCTCCACACACTTGGACATAGCAGAACCGACACGCTCAGCTAGCCAAGAAGATCATTGCTCCTTCTTTTGGAATTCGAATTCTACAAACATACCCATAAAATTTCGTCACTGGACTCTGCCATAAGCCGGTTATATCCAGTCTATTGCCTCACACACTATCAGTGTAAGGTACAATTTATATATTTGGGGATGTTCTCCCAGCCAAACCTACATTTCTTCACTTTAGATTTCTTAGACTGAAATGTTGTAAGCCTACTTGCTTCTCATTTCCATCACCTTGCCCTGTCCATTTGTTCCCTCTTTATTTAGTCTTCCCAGGTAGGTTAGTTGATTCTGGAAATTACGAAGCTCATATTAGGTAATTATCTCCGCTATTTCTTTCTTGGTGGTATTAAGAATTCTGATCACGCATTCTTTGCTTCCTGATTCTCAACTTTTCGGTGCTTGTACATATTAATAATTTCGGTTCTTTCTTCATGAAATTTCCCCTGGGATCACATGTGAGACTCCCTGATCTACTTACGGGTAACATGGACAATGCGAGTGATCCAGTGACAAGGCATTCACACTGATATTATGAGTTTTATGAATATTGACCAATTAATATATATTAATACTTATGTGATTTGTTAAATACGAGGGTGGAGAGTTTAACACGCACAAAAAGTGCTCTTTTAGACAACTGAAGAAGGTATTGTTTCTTCAGAAAATCTAAGAGTCAGAAAAGTCCATCGTACATTATTTCGCTTTTACCATGAACATTTTATTTTACGCATGGGTTCTGTTTCCTTGCCAATATGGCAGCGAAGTTAAAGTAAGTCTCCTTAAATGCGACACACGTTGAATATTTTTAGACAGCTCTGAAAATGGAAGAATTTCAATAGATATTTCACATGTTTCAACGAGTAAATGGTCAATTGGCAGACAAAAATTCGGCTGTTTTGGCGCACCTTATTTGTCCCTTCTAGGACTAAAACTCTGTGTAATTAAATTAGAGGAAATGTCCAGTCAAGAATGAATTAAAATTCACATCATATCTGTGTGGATGACATCAGTTTATGCCGTCAGCATATATTATTAGCATTGTATGTGCAGCTGTAAACAACAGTCACCTTTGTTCTGGGTTCCACCCTCTCTGTCGGCTTCTTTATCACGCGAAGATGGTAAAGATAACGTCGAAATATGTCTATATGTCTATACTTAATTGCTTGAATGCATTTTTAAATGATAAATGTACGATAGTTTAAAAATTCAGTTGTAACTGGCTAATTGCAACTCGATGTCTCAACAGTTATGTCGAAGAAAATGGTTATCTTCTGGGTTGTTGCGCCATGCAGTCTGACAAGTTTACCGACGTTTCAGAGGTAGGACCTCTGCCAGAAGATAACCATCGGCCTCAAATCCTACAGTTTCCCTTCTATTTCGTGAGGTATTCGTGAGTCTGAAAACCCATTCTCATAAAAGTTACAAATCTTAGTGAAATCTACATTTTGAACCATATCAAACATCAATTCTTTCGAACTGAACTATAATTTCAAGTACGTTGGCGTGACTCTGCACAATATAATGACGAAATCTTTATGTCATGGGACATAAACAGGAGCCCTCCCCAAGTTGAGCCCTTTCTTCCTCGTGCAGTCATGATGACTCGCTGTGTTACTCAAACGCCACAAAGATAAGAAGTGTCTCAGAATCAAGTCACATCCTGGCAAATGAACGAATTTCTTAATATAATGATTCGAATTCCTTTCCTAAGAATTTTATAAATTGGATATACTCTGTGTGCACCAAGAATATTAATCACCATTCTTTCTGTCTCCATCGCCATTATATCGACAGTAGCATGGAAATCACCAGCACCATCGCGACCCGTAATCTGATTTTGCCATTAATTTCAACGTTTATCACAAATATTCTCTTTCCAGCGAGAGCCTCCTCCGTGCAACTGTTAACAGAAGATTTCTGTCTTCCGTGTTGTAACGCCGTGTATTCTGGTATAAGTTTACCAACGTTTCAGAGGTTCTTGCTGCCTTCAACATGAATGAACTGGTATTCATACAAGTTCTCACACATCTTCACATAAAGCACCTTAAAATTATTCTACTCCTAGCAACTTATTCTTGCACAAAAAACATATGATGCAACTTCAAAATTGCATTTCTGATAGTTAAGCATCTTCTTTCGGTGGATGCAAGAAACAACAATTTACAGGTTTCCGTAAGAACTAACGTCTATAACAATGGTTTCGTGTATCGATAAAGAAGATAATGAAACGCTTAGCGAACTGCGTAATAACGTTATTTTAGGGCTCGGAGATGTGTGACGCGTGACGCATATCGTAATATTATGTTTCCCGTTGTAAGACGCAAACGTCCTTCCGCTAGTCAATAAATTCCCCACATTTTATTAAACCCAAAGATTTACCAGAACTTCCTACACATAATACTAATAAACTGGATTTGTCGTGTTAAGGTCATATTTATTTTGTTCAGAAACCAGTATACAATGTTCACAGGACCATCACAATTCTGTATAAAATTCAATTGTAAACATTTTATATTTTAAAATTATGTGAATGGTGTTAAACATGGATACGAAGGGACTGCATGGCTTAAGCCGTTGTATTAGTGATAATTACGCGATTTAAAATATGAAAAATAATGTACCAAATGCGTTTTAAACACATGGGTTTGTGCCGTAAAATGTTGTTTAATCAGGTATTGTACTTTTGGAATACCAATAACATAAAAATAGTTATTAAAGATAGTTACGTAAATAGTTGGTTTTGAATATTTGAGGATTATCAGGCACGCTGCAAGCCACGAGATTATAAACACCACCATTAAAATGTTCATAATTCCATCAAAATTTCCTTTGTATACAAACACCAAGCGTTGCTCATTCGTCTGAATTCTTCTGATCCTTAGCAGTAAACAACGTAGCAGATGCTACAATTTATGCAAAAGCTAAGTTAATTATCTATTGTGGTTTAAGAATAAAACTGGATTATGATTACAGTGAGTATAGCCAAGCCTCTTTCTTCATTTACATCTGATGCCCTCCTAATCTTCACAGGTCACAGAAAGTCAACTGTAAAACTGATTCAGTACATTTATATCTGTATTTTGCTTTAAAATTACTGAACCTGTAACCGGCTCTGAAATATAGCAACGTTTCACTTTTTAATGAATCAAAGGGTAATATAACATTCTCAGACGAGTTCAATATTAATTTTGGATACTTCTCATTCTGTTCCTGCAGTTATCAGAATTTTTGATAGGTTCTTTAAGGCGTAGGTTTCGTCTAAAATTATTTCACGTACAAAAATTATGTATATGTGTTATATTACGTGATTACATGGATCTTATGGGCTTGGTTTACTTCAGGACCTTGGCTGGTTTTCACAGGCCTGGATTACTTCCAAGATTTCGGTGTACCGTTGCATGAGTGGTGAATCCGGCTCCACCGATGAAAGTCCTGTAACGGAATTCTGAAACAAAATACCATAAGTTTATTAAAACGTAATAGTAGTAGTTCTAAAGACAGCCATCAAATTGTGCTCCGTCTTCTCTGCGTTTACTTGTAGGCCAACGTGTAGTATAGCTTCTGTTCTACTTTGTGGTGAAATTAGAATGACCGCTACAAAAGATAAGGTTTTGGTGAATACCTCACCTTGAACAGAAGATCCTTCGTGCCATCAAAGTCACCAAATAGCTTGAAGAGGTCCGGGCGTTTGCTGTAGAGGTCTCCAGCTGATAGGATCGCATGTCGAATTTCGTTAAGTGCATTCTGTGACTTCCCGTTGCTCGTTACAACCTGGTAACAGGTCACAGTACTTCAAAGCACTCCAGTGGATAGTGGATATAATTTAATGCTTCAACTGAAGACTTTATCACTCTTTTGCGGTCAGAAAATCTCTAAATGTTTGTGTATGAAAACTTGTAAAGTGAAGGCGATGTTTGTAGGCTGTGGCAGTTTCAGGCTAAAATTTATTAAGCTTAACTTTGAAACAAAAGAAATCAATGATATGAAAGGCAGAAAGTGAGAGAGTAGTGAATAACATTGCAGTTACAGGGGGAAGCAGAGATAAATTTACGACTATGAAGGTTCCCAGGCGATGCCCGTTTGTCATTCTGGTAAAGGTAGGTTGAAGAGGTTAGGCGTTCATAAGTGGAGAAGTTAGAGAGCTGAAAATTTGAGAACTAGAGAAAAATTTACAATTTTGAATTTTATATTGAAATTGAGAAGGCGGAATTTGGTGAAATTTTTATGTTTCATGACGGACGTACATGAAACCGAAGCCTCAGAGCGATTATGAACTGAGAGACGTGATATTTTCATGGTATATCCGTTGCAAATCATCAACAGTTCTCAATGCTTAATCTTAGGTATTCATATTCCGTTGTCATTGCGCTTTGATATTTAGGATTTTCATCCAGCATGGTGCTACCACCATCTGGTATCGTGTATACGCGACGGTTAGGATCCCTAAAATACGGCATTAGCTAAAATTGTGTCAAGTTGTCGGACAGTGACGTAAAATGGACGTTAGATTCACTGTCACAAGATAACACTATGATATGATAGCCATTATATTCTTCAAATAATGTGCATTTCCATCGTTAAAAATAGAGAAATTGGTTTGAGGATGTGGATTGGATTCTTCTGGAGCAGTTTAAAGACCAATCAGCAAGGCAACAAGCCTTTGTGTTCTATAGAGATATTTCTGCACTTTTCCTCTCGGACAACGCTCACCATGTGTGGGGGAACTTGTGCCAGGTGACATCGCGTGTATTGGTCGACGGGGGCCCGTCCTCCATCAGGACACAGCAGTTCGAAGTCCTCAGATTTAAGACCTGCAGCCCACCCGGCGCTGTTATGGCCATCTGCAACCAAAAGAAACATGGTTGCCGCCCAGGAACGACCTTCCTAAGGCTCTTATTTCAGCTTCAACTGTTTCGGGGGGGTGATACTTTACAAGGCCCCTTTACGAAGGTCTGTATTGATTCTGATATCAGTAAAACTCTAATAATCACTTAACCCTTTGAAATAAAAACGAATGAGGGAAAAATAAATTTTAAGGGAAGTAGTGAGAGATACTATATTTAACAGCATAAACAGAGAGAAATTTTCGGCTATGAAGGTTCCCAGGCAGTGTCCGCTCGTCCTTCTGGTAGTGTCACATCCCCCCCCCCCCAAGATGAATTTATCCGTTTTGTCGTGTACTACCGCGTAGTCTCGTCCAACGTAAGACATTTTGCCATTGATTGATCTCCCACTGAAACTGGCCCATAAAAGTCACTTCTGACATTACTTAATCCTTACCTGTGTTTTCAGGGACCGTTGTGTGTTTCACAAAGGCTACGTCACCGGAACCGGAAGCAAGACACCGGAAGGCTCCGGTGTAACCGAAGTAAGATTCATTGTTGCTGGCAGAGCACCGCGAAGTTTGAGTTGTAGCGGTGTCTGTGTTGAAAGAAAAGTAAAATAAAGTTACTTATTCCACTATCACCTGATCACACGCGTTTTAAATTTCAAGGACTGCTCTGTACCATAAGAAATACAGCATTTTCAAGAAGAGAAGTGGTGCATTAATATTTTTTGATATTGGACTTTCGGGCTGTAACACCGTGTGGAAATATTGGTAGATACCGACATACTTCCTCCATCTACAGCCCTGAAATGAAGCAGGAACCTCTTACGAAACGCCGGTATCTACCTAAAAGTAAACAACCCATAAGACAAACATCTAGATCTTAACCACCGCGAGAACCTCAAATCTCATAACATTTATTGGTTTGCCTCGATTGACTTAAGGAAATTTTTAATAATGAGATTTTGAAACAAGGTGATATACTTTAGGGTTGAATAAAGGCATAACATTTATTCATCAACTAAATATCTGAAATTGTTCTCAAAAGAGACCGTGCACCTAAGAGTTAGTCAAGTAAATTAAGAAGAGTCTAATATTTAAATTCAATCAGTAGCATTATATATATATAAAAGGTTAGATTTTGGATCATTTGGACACTTACCTGAAGAATCCAGGTTACCGGCGCAGATACTGCAGAGTTTCTCGGGGTTTTCCTCAGCGGGATTGTTTTCTGGGGCTAGAACACCGGGCACGCAGCTGCCGCCAGAGAAAAACTCAGACAGTGCTTTGGGATATGGGCAGTTGTTCTTGCTGATTTGACCCTTTTGCAGCAGGGTATACAGCGGTACGTTCCAGCCTGTCATCAATACAACCCAAATTGAACCTGGACTACGAGACCTAATCGGCAATTGTCATGATTTTTAAGAGTCATAGAGAAAAACTGAAAACTGTTTTGTTTTTCATTTCGAAATACTGATTTATATAGGCTAGTGATTAAAATCTTAAATGAACGCCATGAAATACTTTGTTAGGGAGGTTTCTCGGTCTATGTGGCTCCTAAATACATCCAGAAGAACTCACCGGCTGTCCGCCCGTACCCTGTGTGACATGATTTGGCACCCCGAAGATCGTCGAAGGATTGGTAAGATGAGGACTTCTTCACCACTGCCAGTGCGTAGTACAGGGCTCCATGTTCGCCATATTGTTCTGCAATTATGGGCTTCAGGTTGTACTGCCTGGGAACAACAAATTATCTTTGTTACAAGATTTCAGTCAACAATTATAGCTTTCGCACCATAAAACAGATCTCTTATATAGTATATACATATGTGAGGATTACATAAGGGTTGGTCACTGAGGGAAGATGTGGTTGAAGTTGGCACAGTGGAGATGACCACAAAACTCCATCTAGCTCCCAGCTACAGAATACGTTGAGATGTATTTATTTATTTCCAAGTTCTTGTACGCCTTCACGGCGTCCTGCATACTAACAGGGGCAAAGCTTAGCTTCTGGCTGGCCACACGTGCCTTCAAGGAGTGTCACAGGGGAAACCGGTTTCATGAAACTGGAAACTAATTTTTCATAGGAAAATGGAGTTGCTTTAATTTGTAAGTAATACAGAGTCACATAAAACTACTATTGCGCAACTGTTCTATCACATGGCTCTGTGAGTGACTTCTAAATTAATACAATGGCGTTTTTCGATGAAACCATAGTTCCCAGTTCTTTGAAACCGGATTTTCCTCTTGTCCTTACACGTACAAATTTCCTTGACGTCCTGTGTAAGAAATGCACGCTTACAAGTGCAACGATCGTACGCCTTCAAGTTACTGCAGTCTCGACAGATTTTATGTGCGCAACCACTCAGAGCTCTGATTTCTGCTGAGGAGGCTGTACATACAAATCACTTTGCATGGGAAAGGCGTCTACTTCAATAAAGGGGATAGGAATCCTGCTAACACTGAGGATGCTACCTAACTACATCAGCTAGTCAAAAAGTTCCCCGCCTTTAATGGAACCCCGATGGCTCGTATTTCTCTGCAACTGAAAAAATAACATGTCCACAGCAAAGTATTGTGTAGCCCTTACATAAGACAGATAATTAAACATCACAACGGGCGCTCACCTCTGGGCTGTAAACACCTCCCCGCCGTCCAGGGTAATGACGTCAGCACCGTCGTCACGCACCGTCTTCATACAGTCATGGAGCGTCGCTTCTTGGACGCAGTCAAAGGCAGGGCGGATGTCACGCGAGAAGGCGGCCTGCCTCAGCAACCTGCACTTGGCTAGTTCCGTGCTCGACGTGACGCAGAACCGGACGGGGCGATGGGGCGCGCCTGTGTCTCGTTCTATCACATCCGTGTAGTTGGCTGCAATGACATAAGATTTTGTGCTAAAGAATGCAGAACAGGATTATATGGTGTTTAGGACTGGAGATTCACAAAAATTTGTGCGAAATTCCTGTCAGCACCATCACAATCGCAGCTTTGCATTTAGATCAAGTTGAAAGTTATGTGCAGTTTCTTAAAATGGCGTATATTACAACAAAATGGTGTATAGTATAAAAATGACAAGGTTCATGCAAGATCAGAACTGAGTTTGCCATAACAACGCCAGACAAATCCTGGCGTGCTAATTGTCGGTCCACATCGTACGTTTATCTGTCAGAAAAGAAGGTCTTACCTTTGTTGAGATAGTCCTGAGGGGAGTAGGGACCCTGGTTATCGACTGCCAAAGTTTTATTGTTGAGGTCCAGTACTTTGCTCAACCACTCGGCGTTCTCGGTCTCACCGATGTTGTTGGCCAGAGAGATCTGAGCCCTTAGGTCAGTTATGTCGCTGTGAAGACGTTAAAAGCACTCGTCACAACAGAGACTCAGACACCACAGAGCACAAGTTGTTCTGAGTTAGAGTGAATAAATTATCCGGTTTCAAAATGATTCATCACATTCACTAATTCCATGGAACAGGGTCTTTCTTGAGAAGCAAATTGAACCCTCAACTAGCAAAGAAACTCCTCGCCTTTTGTGGAACCAGAAGAATCATTACCGTATTCACAAGATTCCGTTACATATACCTATCCTGAGCCAGATTCATCCAAACGTATTTTCTTAAAAACCGTTTTAATATTATCCTCCCATTTATACACAGGTCTTCTAAGTGACCTCTTCATTCAGACTTTTCGAACAAAATTTCAAAAGAATTTCTTTCCCCCCATGCCTGCTACATGCCCTGCCAATTTCATTTCCAGATCGAGGGGCTTGCAAAATGACACTTGTTTAACGAAACGTCTCTCTCACCTGTCCAGGTCGGCGTTGGCAACATAACCCTGCCAGGGGCGGGCTGCCCAGATGCACGGTTTGCCTGTTATGGGTTTCTTTGTGGCATCAGGGCAGAGAAACGCGTAGTTGTTGGGATCCTCGCCAGTGGGCACTGCCTGTCCGGCTCCAATCGGAAGCTGACAACAACATCCACAATTACGATTTGGAGTGTCTTCCATTCAATTAAAATGAACACGCAAATTTAAATATGGCGAGTTTTCATGGAACCAGAGAATGGGTCTTCCAGCCACCAAATGTGATCGTGCTGGTTACCTACCCCGAAATGTTTCTTCACGTAGTAAACCTTGGTCCAGGCAACCTGTCCTCCGTGCTCGGAGAGACATCTGAGAGCGCCATCGTATCCAGAATACTTGTCAGGGTAATCGCACACCTCTGGGTGCTCACAGAGAGCACAGAGGTTGGAATACTTCGTCTCTGCAAGCAACAGTGAGTGACCGTTAAGCAGAAACAGCATAATCGACACACTTATGTTTTGTAACTCCTGAATGAATGACTAAAATATCTTATTTTGTTATTTTATTTCTATGACGAATTGCGTTTAAAACACTTGATGGATTGCGTAAATCAAAGCAAATGCATTTATCACTACTGTCAACATTGTCAATACTAACATCAACCGTAGATGTAGGTGAGGTTGGCCTAAAGAAGCAATGCTTGTTTTATTGGGCTGCTTGTCAACAGAACACGTGGACAAGCATAATGTCCAGGACTGGTCATTCTCTTTGGCTTTTCTACTGATCTGTAGTTTTGAAATGCCATTTCAACCCATAATTATGCCGAGATCGAAGTGTAATTTTGACAGTATTTTAATGGACTTTGCGTATTCATGTCAGTACTTCGTCTAGTAATGTAAATTATTTATTATTTTCATGTTGTATTTTTTATTATAGTTTAGTTAGTTTAAATAATGGCAAAATATTTGTATTCGTTATGAAGTTCTGAGAAAGATCATTTTATGGCCTATTCGTCAATGAATGGATAGAACAGCTGTTACAAAAAGTGCATGATTCATTAATGTATATTGCCCACGTACGAGTGTTTTATAAAATTAAATAATGGACTTTATGCACCATCTAATGAGTTCCATTTCAACTATCCAAGTGTAGCGCAGCGGTCTGTGGCGCCATTTAGTAGTGTAAATCTTAACTAATACGAGGCTTAAACGTGAACTATGCCCGTCGTCAGCACAAGCCTGGCACTGACGTAAATACCAGCATAGAATCATGCCTTCAGCTGTCATTGAACTACAGTGCACGATTCATACCTAATTGCCCTTGAACAGATAAACACTGGTTGAATTTAGGAATCAGTGGCCGATTGGATACACTTCGTAACCTATTCCAGGGGGATTCCTACATGCCGAACCTGATGACAGACCATGTAATTCGTGAATCTTGTTGTTTCAACACATATCGTACCAAGCAGGAAATGTCTGTTCAATGGATTATGTTTTTCGAACACCAATCAAGTAACCGAATAATTGAAGAGAGACGCTTCCAAAACCTCAGGATTCCTTGTGAAACCCAATTTCTTCTTCTCTAGTTTCAGACTGAAACCGCCGTGTTCCTTACCAAAAGCAATGAAGGGAAAGATACCAATAAATTCTGGACGCTCAGGACCGTTAGTCCCCTATCTTATATATACAGTTGTGTGCGTTCTCTATAGCTCTAGAACGGATTTCTAATTTTCTAACTGCGCAAACGCGAAAACTGGATAATGAGCACCGAGGAATTACTATATTCTGAATATGAGTTAAATCGCAACGTACTGAGGGCCTGGTTCTGGGCTTGGTCTGGAGCCCACTTGCCGACGAGGCAGGCCTGACTGAACAGCTCTGAGAGGGCATGAAGCTCGTTTTCCCGCGGTGTGAGGTCTGGGTTGTTCAGAGAACTCAGAATTCCCATCTTCCTAAGCTGTGAAATAAAAACAAATAATAATTGTACATTAGATTTGAGGTTCTTAACAGCTGTGACGACGTCGTTATAAAAAAGCACAAAACTTCCCCATTACAAAGATCAATTATTTAACGCCGTTTGGAGAAATGGTTACTGTTTTTTCTGAGAGTCACAAGAAGCTGATAAATACACTATATGGGCAAAATATAACGCGTTATTATTGGTAATGAAAGTGGTGCATATAGTTACCACTGGGTTTTAAAGTGTAAAGCTAAAATGTCTGTGCTTACCTTGGTGATGGGAATTTTGTATCCCACATTTCTGCCCACTCCTGTGTGACATGACTTCAGTCCTTTGAGACCCTGCAGGCTGCTGATGGACAGGTTGTTATGAACCACGGCTACAGCTTCGTAGCGGAACTCCTCTACAAAAACATGACGTCACTAATACTAGAACTGAATGTCTCTTTGCTCCTGAATATATTCTGTTTATGCAACACCATCACGGTATTCATATTTACTTAAATTTATATTCAATTTGCAGGACAGTCTCAACAACAAAGGACGAATATGCCTCTCTCTGGAATATTAATATTTTCCAGATGCGTTCTTTTTAATATTGTTATGTTTTTAGCAGGTTAATTTATGTTAGATACAAATATAACGTTGCAAATCTAATAGGCAATAAATATATATATAAATATAACTACCTTCAGGGTTTTTGCGCCCTGATGGTAAATTTCTATCTGAATACACGGAACTACAACACAGAAGACAGTTATATTCTACTAATGACAAATTCTTCTTGACTGTTGCTTCGGTGTTCTACATCAAATTTCTGCAAAGACACTCACCGTTGGGTTCCTCCTTGGTTCGAATTTCTTTGAATATGGTGAAGTCTTGATGAGGTATTTTGGATGCTATATACATGTCCTCCGGATCCACTGGCTCAAAGTCTGCTTCCCGATGTTGAATCTTTTCCAAGCAGTCCAGCCTTTGCAATTAATAAAACATTAAAGAGTATTTATTACTCGTGGCTATTGCATTGGCATAAGCTCCTACATGTTGAGGAAACATGTTTCTGGTAACGTTCCCGAGTGACGTACACAACTTACCAATGTCTAAACCCTTTCCGTGTCACACACAAGACATTACACACCTTGTTTATATGCAACACACCTCTCCTGGCGCCTACCTACAGCGTGTTTGGAAACACATGTAACCCACGGACGAAACGTTCAGGAAATTTTCCTTCGAAAGAGAATCTGTGATAAATTATATCTATAAATCCAATTCCTACCTCAAAACAGAATTCAACAAAAATAAATGCATTACTTACGTTTAAGGAAATAATCGGTCTTAATTCTAGGAATCATACAAAACCCATAAATACTACGCCGGCAAAATGCAGAGTTATTAAAAGTTAAATTAGACGGTACATATAATTACCACCTGTGTTTATATTCTTCAGCAAAGAATGTTTAATCCAAACTCAGCCAACGGTTTCAAAGACCACTTTGTAATCAAATCATGCTTATATCCTCGAAGAGCTGTAGTTCGGTATTTACGATGCGGTACAAGCATAGATATATCACATAACATGTCCCATAACATGATTCGTCGTGAGAAATACAACGCCCATAAATTTCAGTTTCTATAAAGTCACTTCCTCCAGTGAGTTACGTCTCTTTTTTGACACAATGTGAGCCAATACGTGTGACGGGCTACTGGAAATAAATTTAAAGTAGTTTACCTGTCGCGAGCAGCAACGCAGGTCATATGAAGTCCACTTTCCGACGCCATAGCCTCGCACAACCCCATTCTATCTTTCGACACGCATATCTTGTCTGGAAACAATCATTAAATAGTTTTCATTAAATGCTTAATTTTCTCTCTAGCCACTGCATTACTGGCAATGTGACAGGACTGGGTTTGAAGGGCAGGGAGAATGCTTCTCACTCTCCTGTTCAGAATTCGTCTCCACTTCTCCCTTCCAAAAACGTAAATCTGTCATTTTATCTATGGCGTTGTATGGGTTTGGAATTTGATACTTCCCCCTAAGGAAATAACATAGACCGAGAAGTGTTTGAGAAGAAAATAATCAAGAGAAAATGTGAAACTAAGAGGGTTTAAGTAAGAGGAGGTCGGAGAAAAATCCACGAAGAGTTAAGTTGGATCTGAGGTTCTCGCGGCGTCGAATCCGAAGATTTCTGTCTCCTGGGTTGTAGCGCCGTGTAGTCTGGTAGACGTTTATCGAAGTTTCAAAGGTCATACTGCATCCATCGTCAGGGCGATGCGTCATCGCCCTTATGATAGGCATTGGTAAACATCTACCAGACAACACGGCGCTACAACCCAGAAAAGGACCATCTAGGATTTCCATAATTCGTAATCTTCAAATGTGATTTGGATAATCAAATTAAACACGGTGATAAGGACGGGATACGTAGTACTTTCAGCAGAGAAAAGACTTGTAAAAATTTTAACCGGGGAACCTGAAAGGAAGAGGCATAGATGGGAACATATGATTAAAATGTATCTTTGAGTAGCAGGATATTAGAAAGTGGACAGGATTAATCTGGATCAGTATACAGAATAATAGTGGTGTTAACTCAGTAGATGTTAACTCCTGCAAATAATGCCAGAATTAATCTGAGGATTTCCTAAATGTTAATCGAACGTGATATGAGTCCTGTTATAAGAAACTCGCTGCCGGACTCTCTCTTTGGTCTGCAATGCCCCAGGTATTAGAACTAGTTCACTTTGCAATTGTAAAAGATACATGAAATTAAGTGGTGGAAAGTTTGAATTGTAATACCAGAACATGTTTTGAGGGACTGCCTCGTACGGAGACAGATTCAAATCCAAATAGTCTACAATTTACATGATTTTGTCCTTAAAACACGGGGGTCTACTTTCCCTTATGGCTACTAGGTGTAGAAAATATTTGTGTAAAATGTAGTGTAGCTGAATGGATGTAGGATACTAAAATAAGAACTTGTGTATTTTTTCCGATTTGACTCTGTGCTCACTGTTATGAAGTTAGCAAAAATGAGCATAAGGCAAGTAAGATAAAGAATGCTAACAAGTAAGCCAAATAAATTATAAATATCGACAACAGTGACTATTAAAATAACAAACGAGCACGAAAACAGGGAATAGAAAACTTCAATATGCTAATGCAGACTTTGGACAAATACTAAAGGGAATTTTACATGCTGAATAACCACAAACTGGAAAGCTAGCAGCTTCATAATTCATAAACTTAGCCAAAATATTACTAGAATGATCAAATTAACAAATATTAAGTTGATGGGGCATGTATCACGTACGGGAAAATGTGAAAAATCACTTGAGGGACCTGAGCGTAGTTGGGAGGATAATATTAAAAGAGATATTAAAGAAATGGTTCATGAGGATATGAAATAAGTAATTTTAGGAAATATTTTAGAACATCAAATGTATTTGTATTTGACGGCAAGTAAATAAAAGTGATTTACTACATTTCTTTAACCGCGACATAAATTACGGGTTTTGGCGACCACTACTAGCTACAAACAGCAAGAATACTCAGGGACTGTGCCGCTAGAAGCAGGAAACTCCGCGACGGACTCAGTGATCGCCCATGGCTGGAACAACGCGCCGTTCCGCGATCACAGCCGCTAAATATCTTTATAGCACATGTGTATTTAATTTTCATTAAACTTACGCCCAGTGGTAAATTCATCGACCTGAAACCAACTCAACAGGAGTTCATATTGACACCTCGCTGGACTACTTACAGGTGCTGCGATGATGGTGTACAGGCGCCTCTGGGGTGGGCAAGGCGAGAACTGCAGGCAACAGCACACTCAGGAGAAGCATCATCTTGGCGACTGTGAAACCAGCACACAGACTGCGTGGTTATATACAGCACTCTCTACTACCTGCGTCACTAACATTAACTCTCAACGCTAATCACCTCTGACCGTCTGATCTTGACATGTTTTTCATGATCGTACGCTGGAAATTACCCACAGACTTCTCTCAGTACAAAGTCAACCTCAATTATATCAATTTGTTTACCGCACTAGAAATTTGTGAATTTTTCTGTGACTGGAGCAGAATTCTTCTTGAGACGCTAATAGTTTCTCAGCTACTCAGTATCTCCCTGCCTTGTATGAAACCCAAAGGTTATTTTCGTGCAAAACAAAGCCCACCACCGCTCCTTATCCTGAGCCAATTAATCTAGTACAAACACTCCCACCCTATTTCTTTAAGACCAATTTTAATCTCATTCTCCCATATGTTCACATGTCTTTCAAAAGCCCTTTTCAATTCAGGTATTCCTATCAAAATTTTGTAATGCATTTCTAATGTCACCCATGCGTGCTACATACCCCGCCTTTGTGTGATTATTACTGTACACAGTTCCACGTAACATGGATTGGTTACCGTTCCTGAAGGTGTCCGTCTAACACATGTGGTGTTTCTTTTAAGATTATAATTGCACAATATGTCATATATTTATGTTTATGGAATTTGTGTTTGAAAGTTTCTTAGAAATTCAGTTTTCGCGATCGTAGATAGATCAAGATAATGACATTTTCCCTTTCCGTTTTGAAGCGTTACTTAATCATAAGTTCCCGTTACAGTACTAAGAAACTTACTCGTATTCTAGGTTAGGTCAATATTAGCGTGAAGGTATTTTGTTTGTAAGTCCATTTCTCTGCGGCAAGGATTAGGTATAACTTACAACTAAAACAAGTTAGTATCATCAGCAACATTCTTAACTACACAGAATCAAAATGCACATTAATCTTCCTCGATCTGCATTAACATTCAATCACCAAACTATATTTTCTCCTTCTCCTACTATTTCTTCAGCTGTTAAATATCACAATTAGTTCTGAAGCCATGTATCGTCTGACATTTAGTAAAATTCATTGGACGACGGATTGGTCCGTTGCATTACCTTTTCCTGCACAGACGACCACAGAACTTAAAATCGTGGGCATTTAATCATGTTCAGAGCCGATTTCGAATCCGCAGTACCAGACCTAAAAGTTTCTTTTTCCTTTGCTGGATTTGAGGGTCTCACGGCAGTGAGTACGAAGATGGATGTCTCTTTTTACTTTATATTAATTAACAAGTAGGCATAATTAACCCGTTTTATTAACACAATTAAGTCAAATATAGGTTCTCGCAAATATTAGAGTTTATTGTTCACTTTTCACTGATCTCAATCAGCATATTGCGATGGGGCCAGAGGTTATCTAGCCTTTGAGGGCTAATGAATAGAACAGAGGTCGCATAGCAACACGATCTGTTCAATTAATAGTTCCGGTTCTTACCACATTAACCATTTGCCTTGTTTCAGATTTAACTATGAAACCAATAAGAATTTACCCTGATGGATAATGACCGGACGTAGCAGATTTGAACAGCAACCTGGTTTTATAAAATTTGTTTCCCTGTTTAGATATAAAACCGAATTGCCTCAAAGGTTATAAAGTACGCAGTTTGGTATTAATCTAATCTCATAACAATTTTACATGGACGTAAATATTATGTTGTAGTTATGCTGTTCGTATATAATTATGAAAATATTTTTAAATAAACTGATAATTTTATTCAAAATAAATAATTAAAAGAATTTTTAAAAAAATAGGGTTTATATAAATACTTTCTTAGAGTAGACTGGCTTTTCCGGAGAAGTTAAAAGTAGATCGGATAATCAAGAAAACCCTCGCGTTTATCGTATACCGATGGCTCATTACCGTGTTCACCAAAACCTACTATCAATCCCTTAATTATCCAGAAGAATTTAGTCCAAGATCAACTTTAATATTATCTTATATCTACTTCTAGGTCTTCCAAATGGTATTTTACTTTCAACTTACTGGGCTACAATTTTATAAGCGTTTCTCTTCATTTACAGGAAAATATTAAAATAAGAGACGAATGAAGATAAATGTTTTCATACAGACATTACATCATTGTTATTACTAAATTTTCCTCATAGTATTTCTTGGAATTGTCCAGAGGACAAAGAGTTCTCGAAGTATCATAAATCAAGCAACTTACACTGGATCATGCGATGTTTATCTCGTGTTTTGGTGCTTCCCCACTGTTGACCTCTTTTTAATATTTCTGTACATCACTCAAGGCTAACAGAAGATTGCAAAGGTTCAAGCTAACATCACCCTACGTAAACGTCACGACAATTGCTTGCCAATAAAATATTAACCCTTTAACGCTGAATCTCGTCATAATGAATTTAAGTTTTCTTTCTGTAAGCAAACACAAAATTTTCACATTTCAAATATCGACTTGTTAATGCCGTTAGAAAATAATTCCTGTTTACACTAAGAATCATAACAAAGCCGTAAATGCAAAATAGTTACCACACGGTTTGAAGGGTTAATCTAACAAAATCATTATTTCAAAAATAGCTATAAATATCAGTTTCATGTTTAACACATACACTTCGTATACGACAGGTCCTCGGTTCCAACTCCAAGTGAAAAAGCGATTATTCGATAAAGAAATATTTGTGAGTTTTCTTATATATTACGGTGCTAAATATACGAGGTGCGATTGGAAAGTTTCCAGACTGTGTCAATAGAGAGCGAACCGGATGTAGTACGAGCTTCTGCCGCTAGGGGGTGCGGCCTACATTCATAGTGAATAAGTGTGCCAACCGGCATCATCGAATTAGCATTTGTTTCTTAGTTACGGGCGTTTTGGTAGTGCATTACACCGACCCTCATGCGATTTCGGAATGGCGTGTGCATCAAATTTTGCCAAAGACTCGCCAAAACGGCTGCGGAAACCTATGAAATGCTAAAGCAAGCATTTGGGGAGTCCGCAATGGGTCGTGCACAAACTTTTGTGTGGCATTCACGTTTTAAAAATGGCCGAACCTCTGGCGATTATGACGAGCGTTCTGGACGACCATCTCCGAGCACAACGCCCGAAAATGTTACGAAGATCGACGTCGTACCATCAACGACTTGTGCGACATTGTTGGGATAGGCTAGGGGACCTGTCAGCTGATTCTAAAGGAAGAACTCCACATGCGACGCATCATGACAACGCGCCAGCGCACACCGCCCTCAAAGTTCGGCAGTTTTTGGCCTCAAACACCATGGCCGTCATCCCGCACCCTCCTTATTCGCCGGATTTAGCTCCGTGTGACTTCTTCCTCTTCCCAAAGATGAAGAAGATTCAGCTAAAGGGAAGGATATTTGAGACGATAGAAGAGATTCAGGCAGAATCGCAGATGTTGCTTGACAGGCTGACAAAGAAAGATTTCCAGGGATGCTTCTAGGCTTGGCAGCGGCGCTGGGATCGTTGTGTTCACTCCCAGGGAAACTACTTCGAGGATAATGGATGAATTTATACCTGAGATAAGTGTACGGGTTTTTATACGCGCAGTCTGGAAACCTTTCGATCGCACCTCGTAAGTATGATGGGCCACTGTCCATTATTCTCGCGTTTTGTAAAAGAAGAATTCAGAACGATCTCAACGTTCATTAAAGTGCTTAATTTCTGAACTACTAAAACCACTTTCACATGAACTCGAATCTTAGTTTCCAAGATACATAAACCACCCTTACCGGGTTTCGAATCCAGGAAAAGCTGATCAAGTTTTGTGCAAGTTGGTAATAATGCACCCACAGGTTTTCTTATATATGACTAGCAAACGAATCAATTTGTCAATTCTTTTACAGTAAACAAACCTTTCTGAATGCTTGCTTGGCTGCCGAATGGACGTGTGTTCCCGTCGGCAGAAAGATTACAAACACAGGTAACTACACTATACATGAGGTCACGTTCCTCCTAATAGCCACGTATAACTAAAACGCGTAAAATGCAATAGCTATTTTTATATGGAACTAACGCCATAATTCTTCGATACTTTGCTTATCATCTGTATCATATTCTCTAATCAGCCAGAAGAAGAAGAAGAAGAAGAAGAAGAAGAAGAAGAAGAAGAAGAAGAAGAAGAAGAAGAAGAAGAAGAAGAAGAAGAAGAAGAAGAAGAAGAAGAAGAAGAAGAAGAAGAAGAAGAAGAAGAAGAAGAAGAAGAAGAAGAAGAAGAAGAAGAAGAAGAAGAAGAAGAAGAAGAAGAAGAAGAAGAAGAAGAAGAAGAAGAAGAAGAAGAAGAAGAAGAAGAAGAAGAAGAAGAAGAAGAAGAAGAAGAAGAAGAAGAAGAAGAAGAAGAAGAAGAAGAAGAAGAAGAAGAAGAAGAAGGCTTTAAAAGGTGACTGCGGGTAGGCTGTTGATGTTCCTTATATTACTGAAACAAAATAGCGGATATGCGAAACTGTGGATCGCGAAAGCGCGTATAACGAGAGATGCCAAAACGTCTTCGAAAGCACCCGTCCTTCGCTCGGGGTATTCTTTAAATAAACGTAGATCCTTCTGTGAGCCACAGAGACCATGGTCTTCCGTCTTCTAGCAGTCACACCAGAGGCCAAGAAACTGGGGAGGAAACTGGACACGCGAAAGGATAATGCACTGTAAATGAAGAGTGTCGTGGCTGCATGTTATTAATTATCTTCGTAAACAAATATGTCATTAATTTGACTGTCAAATGGCCATCGAGCTGTCAGTCCAGGGCACCGTGCAGTTGGCCTACAAGTCGCTACTTTCCTGCAGATATCTTCAAAGAAGGGCAGTGAAACGTTTCCAACACATGAACCGTTACAACTGTCACAAAGTGAAAAGCGTATGGAAATCGGAAATACTTTCGATTTCTCGGGTAAAGTTCAATATAACTGAACAGTAAGAAAACAGTATCTCTTGTAGTTCCTCACTGCAGTGTTTACAGGGAGAACCTTCTCAATACTTTTGAACTGACTATGATAACCTTACGGTTCCGCCATAATTATCGCAATTTATTTCGCCTTCTAATTTTACTTCAGCTGCATTTAAGTTAGCAGATGTTAATT